TGCAGCTCTAAATTTGTATGAAGACAACTCAATAGACAGGCTCTAGCCCATGCAGCAGCAGCAGCAGCTGCTGCTGCTGCTGCTGCTGAGGTTGCTGCTGCCTGCCAGGACCGCCTGCTGGGGCCCCCTGGGGCCCCACGCTGCTTCATCCGGAGGAGAGCAGCAAGTTCTGCTGCTTAGCTTTATCAAGGTTGCAAAATAGCAGTAGCAACAAGGGGAGCAGCAGCAAGTTTGTTGCTGTTGCTGCTGCTGCAGCTGCAGCACTCAACGACCCTTGCTCCCGCAGGGCCCCTCAAGGAGCAGCAGCAGCAGCAGCAGCAGCAAATGCTCCATATGAGCATTAATTGAGTTAGATAACTCATTAGAGGGATGCTGCAGCAGACTGCTGCGTTGCAGCAGCAGCAACAGGATCCACCGCTGCAGCAGCAGGAGCGACGACAACAGCAGCACCAGCAGCAGCAGCAATGCCAGCCAGAACAGTCAATAACAGAACCGCAGCATCAGGAGCAGCAGCAGCACGAAAAACCTAAAAGGCCGCAGCAGCACTCTCTGCTGCAGCTGCAGCCCTCCCCAACGCAGCAGCAGCACCAGCAGCAGCAACAGTTGCTGCTGCAGCAGAACGACTTGCTGCTGTGCCATCCGCTGAAGCGGCTGCTGCATCTTCGGGCAGCAGTAGAGCCGCAGCTGCTGCAGTTCTTTGGTGTCCCTGTGTTGCTGCTGCAGCAGCTCAACGCTGACAACTGCTGCTGCTGCACTTCTTGTTGCTGCTGCGGGCTGCAGCAGACACTGCTGCACCGTCAACAGCAGCAGCAGCAACAAGAACAGCAGGAACAGGGAAAGGTTGAACGGCCCAGCAGCAGCAACAGCAGCAGAAGTAACAGCCACAGCAACAACAGCGACGGCAGCACCAGCAGCAGCAGCAGCACTAGTTGGAGTAGCAGCAGCAGCAGCAGCAGCAGTAGCAACAGCAGCAGCAGCAGCTGCACACATTTTCCTGCAGCACCTTCTCTGGCAGATGCTGCGGCAGCAAGTGCAGCAGCAGCAGCAGCTGCTGCAGCAACCGCAGCAAACTCTGCAGCTTTCAAGTCACCGTGGATGAGAGCTGCAGCAAGTCCAACAGCAGCAGCTGAGCATCCCTTCCCCGCTGTTTCTGCTGCTGCTGCTGCTGCAGCTCCTGCTGCAGCTGCTGCTGAGGCAGCGGAACTAGACGCCTTTGCTGCTGCAACGAGCAATGAGTGCAGCAGCAGCAGCTGCACTTGCACTGAAGCAGCAGCAGCAGCAGCAGCAGCAGCAGGGAGCACGGGCAAAAGGAAGCGGTGGCTGCTTCTCACGTCCCGAGCAGCAGCAGCAGCAGCCGCAGCGCTTGAGTGCAGCAGCGGCAGCAGCAGCACCAAGTCGGAAGTTCAGCAGTATGCGCAGCTGCTGCTGCTGCGATCACAGCTGCTGCTGCTGCCGACCCCACAGCTGCAGCAAGGGAACGTTGTGGTCTTTGCCTGCGACTGGTTGCTGCTGCTGCAGCGGCTGCTGCAGCAGCAGCAGCGCGGCGCTGCAGCAGATGCAGCAGCAGCAGCAGTTGCAGCAATTAAAGGAAAGCAAGCAGATGCCCCCGCTCTCAAGCAGAGCAGCAAAAGGCTGCTGCTGCTGCCTGCTGCGCTGCCGCGGCAGCTGCTGCAGCTTTTTCGATTCGTGCTGCTGCCGCTGCAGCAGCAAGGCGTGCTGCAGCAGCAGCAGCTTCTGGCTGCTTTCAAAGGCTACTTGCTGCAATGGAGGCGGCGTCGTTTTGCCGCTGCTGCTGCGCTTTCAGAGGCAGCAGCAATAGCAGCAAACGCAGCAGCAGCAGCAGCTGCTGCTGCAGCATCAGCAGCAGCTGCTGCTGGACCTGCCACGCAGACCTGTGGCCGTAAGCGACAGAGGCAGCAGACAGCATTAAGAACAGGAACAGCAGCAGCAGCAGCAGACCGTTCAGCAGAAGCAGCAGCAGTAGCATCAGACCGTTCAGCAGAAACAGCAGCAGCAGCAGCAGAAGCAGCAAGAGCAGCGCAGCAGCAGCTTAGGGAAGTGCAGGCAGCAGCAAAGCGGCTGCTCTCCCTTGCAGAGGAAGTTGCCCTTTGGCGACTGACAAAACTGCAGCAGCAGCAGCTGCAGCAGCTGCAGCAGCAGCAGAAGCAGCAACAGCAGCAGGAGGGCGGCGATTGTGTTTCAACAAATGCCGCTGAGCCGCTCAGCAGCAGCAGCACTAGCAGCAGCAGCAATAGCAGCAGCAGCAACAGCACCAGCAGCAATAGCAGCAGCAGCAATGGCAGCAGCAGCAGCAGTAGCAGCAAGAGCGCGAGAACTTTCGATGAACTGAGGCAGCAGCAGCAAAAGAAACAAGAGGAGCTGCTCCTCGAAATGCTAAGAAGCAGCAGCAGCAGCAGCAGCAGCAGCGGGACTCTCTCTGCCTTCTGCTGCCCCAGCAGCAAGTTGCTGTTTGGGGGTCCCCAGAGAGTTCCCTGCGTATTATGTGCGCAGCAGCAAAAGGAAGCTGCTGCTGCTGGTTTGCTGCTGCTGCTGCAGGGCTTTGGTTTGCTGCGGTGTCCCCCCCTGTCCGGCCAGCAGCAGCAGCAGCAGCTGCTGCAGCAGCAGCGGCAGCAGCAGCCGCTGCTGCTGCTGTCGCTGCCCACCATCGGGCCCCTGTGCCTGTGGCTGCAGCAAGGGGAAGCAGAGCTGCTGCAGCGGCTGCGGCGGACGCAGCACAAAGAGCTGCTGCTGCAGCAGCTGCAGCAGCAGCTGCAGCAGCAGCCCCTCAAGGCCTGCGGCTTGGGCCTTCGCTTTTTGCTGCTGTTTTTGATTGGCTGCGGAAGGCTCAGGTGTGTCTCTCTGCCTCCCACCAACCAGCTGCTGCTGCAGATCCCCTAAATTAGGG